ATGTATTATTCTCTATTCTTAATACACTAACATGCATGTTCCTGTGTCAAGTACTTTTCGGGCCCTCATTGAAAGACCATTAAAAAAAAATAAACCAATTTTGTTGTAACTAGTGCAGGATACCATGGATGTCAAGTAATTGAATGACAAAATAGAAAGAAATAGATGTGCTACAATTACGAGCAGTGGGTGCTCCTATTGGAAGCTTTCGCAGCCAACTTCTGATGTTCCAAGTTTTCTTCTGGAAATAACACATTCCCCTCAGATGTTAATTGTGCTGAAGTTATGTTCCAAAAGGATATATTTTTTTTTTAGATTTTATGCAGCCCAAACCTCGTTCCAGGGCTGATCCACACTGAATGCACTAACTGCAATTGGAACATGTTCCACAATCAGACACATTTCTAGAAATCAGATGAAGGTCAAGCTCTCCAACCTTTTTAAAGAACTTACACAAAAATTTAGGAAGAGCTTTTTCTTATGAATAATGATGACATTTGGAAATTCATACAGAAATTAAGGGGTTCAGTCTTATTAAAGGTTTGAAGAAATTCTAGAACAATGAAGATTTTTGCCTCCCTAACCCCAAAGGTACAAAAAAAAAGCAAAGAAACCCCACTGCTGTTGGGTCGATTCCTGTTCAGAGTGACCTATAGGGCAGGGCAGAACTGACCCTGTGGGTTGCTGAGACCCTTTACAGGAGTAGAAAGTATATCGGGCGGTTCTGAACTGCTGACGTTGAGGTTAGCAGCCCAATTTGCAACCACTACACCATCATCACCCACCTTCTTCCAGGTGTTAGTACATGCAAGAATCCCGTTTATGGAACAGATAGCCTTTTAAATCAATAATAGAGAAATAGATAATCCTATACGTGGTGCAGGATCCACACCGTACACCTGTTTGGAGAGACTCCGGGAACCAGTGGTTCAAATGTCAACAAAGGGAAACAACTCAAGATAGCGCGGGCAGCCCTCACATTTGGGCGTCGGACAGCTCGTACTGACCCTTCCGTTTCAGGGGCATTTCCCTCACTTGGCTGCGGTCCCAACCAATCCTTAACAGAACCTCCGTCACTAGCTGCCTGCGCAGCTTTTAAACCACGTCATGATAGTGGGAGTGGGGAGGAAACATTTAGGAACTAGAGGAAAGTTGTCTTTTTCATCATTGCTACATCGCGCCCTGACTCACTCATCTTCTCCCAGAGATCCCTCTGCAAGGGGCTCTTTAGTGGCCTACTAATGGGCTTTGGGTCTCCACTCCGCACTCCCACCATCATTCACTATGGTAAGATTTTTTGTTCTGATG